AGAGGAAAGAAAAGATGAGGATAAAAAAGAAGGAACAGAGGCAGAAGCAGAAGGGAAGGAGGATGGAGTGGAAGAAGGAGAAGAAGGGGAGGATGAAGTTGAAGAGGAAAGAAAAGATGAGGAGAAAAAAGAAGGAACGGGGCTAGAAGCAGGAGGGGAGGAGGGTGGAGAAGATGAAAAGGAAGAAGAGGGGGGAAATGAAGAAGAGGAAGAAGGGATAGAAGAAGATGAGGGAGTGGGGGAGGAAAAAGAAGAGGGAGTGGGAGAAGATGAGGGAGAAGAGGCAGTGGAAGAAGAAGAGGAAGATGAGGAAGAAGAGGAAGATGAGGAAGAAGAGGGAGAAGAGGCAGTGGAAGAAGAGGGAGATGAGGAAGAAGAGGGAGAAGAGGCAGTGGAAGAAGAAGAGGGAGATGAGGAAGAAGAGGAAGATGAGGAAGAAGGAGCGGAAGAAGAAGAAGAGGAAGAGGAGGGAGAAGAGGGAGTGCAGGAAGAAGAAGAAGAAGAAGAAGAGGAAGAAGAAAAAGAAGAAGAGGAAGAAGAAGAGGAAGAAGAAGAAGAGGAAGAAGAAGAAGAAGAGGAAGAAGAAGAAGAGGAAGAAGAAGAAGAAGAAAAAGAAGAGGAAGAAGAAGAAGAGGAAGAGGAAGGAGAAGGGGAAGGGGAAGAGGGAGAAGAAGAAGGGGAAGAGGGAGAGGGAGAAGAAGAAGAAGAGGAAGAAAGGGATGTAGGAGAGGAGGAAGAGGATGAGGGAGAGGAGGAAGAAGAAGAGGAAGAGGAAAAAGCAAAAGATAAAAGAAAAAATTATCATAATAAGCTTCCACAAAAGAAAAGCAAATCCAGGAAGTCAGAAAAGACAGAAAGTACTGCTTTACTGAACAGCTCTAAACAAACCATGACGTCCAAACAGAGTGTAGCAAATGGTTTACATAATTCAGAACAATTTTGGAACAATGTGCTACCTCATTATTTAACACTAAAGTAGAATAGACTACTGGACATGCATTTTCAGCCTCTTCAGGAAACTTCGGAACGATGGCAGATTGATTTTTATTACTTAAAAAAACTTCGAATGTAGTCAAAATACATTATCATGCATTTAAGTGCCAATTTCTCGAAAAAGACTGAAGAAAATGTTTAGATTTGGGAAGCATTTATAAGAGAAATCATAAGTTGTTGATACAGTCATTTTTACAATCACATTTATCATGTATGACACATATTTAAAAAATAATTGCTGAGGAGGTAAACTGTGTTTGCCTCTTAATTAAATTGTAATGTTGTGTTGCCAACATGAATTATATATTGCAACAGTGTAATCTTCTTTGCCTTTGAATCAGCAATACATCAATATTAGTTGCAGGACAGCTTACTTGTTACTGTGCCTTATATGAAAGGAGTGTTGGTAAATACATATACATATTTTTAAATTTTGCTGTCAGCCCATATTCATTCCCCTTACTTTTCTTCTGTTCATACATTGGTAAAATGTTTGAGTATTCAGCATCAATTAAAGAAAAGTTGCCAAATTTTGGGTCAGTTGATGAGAAGTAAATGGAAATGCAGGCCTGAGTAAGTGATGGCCTGGGATTTTTCAAAGGCCTTAAGGCTGACTTTTTGTTTTGGTGTTTGGCACACAATTATGTGCAAATGCACAAGTCTCAGAATCTGGCCTAGCTTACGCTAGACTCAGAATGTATCTGTTCAGGGATAATTTTTAGCTTTCACCCTTGGTGAAAAGAATTTGAAAATACACTTGTAAACTTTTTTTACTTGTTTATACTGTGCAGTACACAGAAGATTCTATATCTGCCTACAAAACACTCCATTACATTAGTCATCTAACTCTAAGGTTCTCAGGAAGGGGAATATATTCTGTTGCTGTGTGAAGCATATATATATTTTCGGTATCTGAGCCAAAGCTTCTCCTCATTGGAGGAGATCTGTGCTTTTCCCTTCTAAAAAATCACATCTGTGATCTCTCAAAAGAGGTAGAGCTAGAAGCCAGATGGAATAGTAAAGAAAGTGGCAAGAAAGTCTGAATTCTTTTTGGAAAAGACAAGGTTAATACTTCTGGAGTTTCCTTAAAATACACAAACAAGTCTTGCAAGTTATTTTTCTAAGATATTGCATTACTGTTTCAACTACTGGGGGTTGAACTGGCAAATGAAGAGATAGGGACTTGTCATACAGCACTGTTACTTAAATTCTATGCTAATGGGTGGTCTGGGACATTTTTGTAAACAGAACTCAGTATTGACATTCATTTTCTAGCAAAATAGTTACTTAAATCCTATTTGAAAATGAGAACAGGAGAGGAAAGAAATCAAAACAAGTAAATGTCATTCAATAAAAATGTTAATGGAATCAATACTTATGTTGGGATTATGAAACATTTTTAACATTGTTTTGTAAGATACTGGCATTAAACTATCTTTGATACAATGTCTCCAGAATTAATTTTCTAAAAAGTCTGTAGTAGATTAGTAGTTTGCCAGTAGATTGTAGTCTAGTTTGATCCTTCCTGCCCCACTCACCCCTTCCATATACTGCATTTGAAGGTAAGATCACTTTGGTCATGTGCCATGCCTAACTACAATGAAAAGTTAATCCAGTGACTCTATTTTGTCCCTGTGAAATGTGTTTCAAGCTTTGGAATTCTCTGGAACACATTGCCTTGACATCAGCATGTCTCTTTGAAACAGGGTAAGTATCCTCATAGTCTGATAGAGTGCAATATTTTAACAGTTAAAGGCACTTCCCAAGAAAACAGCTCTAACAACAGAACCCTCAGAAGTGCTGCTTTGTCACTGAACTCCTGTGAAAATACTTCCTTCTGAAACTAAGTGAAGCTATGATGTGTTATTTTATCCTTCTTAGGAAAGATTAGGATGTCACTGTGATCAAACTTAGAGTAATATTGAGAAGTATTTCTATAGGCCTAAAACTGGGTTTCTTGGATATGACATCTCCATCTTTGTGATTCTAGAATTCGTCATTGGAAGAAAACTGTGCTGTGAAAAAAGTCTGTTATTTCTTGTTAAAAGTATTTCCTAGAGAGAGGGAGGAAAAGGTGAGAGCACTTTAAAGCAAGTGGTTTCCAGTTGCACATAGCAATGGCTCTTCATTCACTGTTTGGCTGTAGCTTTTAATCTCAATTCTTAGGCAAATGGGGACCATTTGTTGTTCCTCTCTTACCATGCACTGATAGCATAAAGCTTTCCCAGAGAGTGAAGGGAAGGCAGCTCATGGGCATCTCCTCTTCTTTGTTTTGTCTGGATGAAAATTCATTGATTTGAGAACTGATTTTATGTAGTTTTGTGGATCATTCCTGTGGTGGGGGAAAAGCAGAGCATTACTCCAGCACTTCTAAGGGTTTTCCACTGAGTCGTTACATAAATTGTACATTGTGCCAACGTTTCTGGGCTTTGATGGGACTTTGGAACTCCATTAGCATAACGAGTGGAATTTTATTTAGTTTGACTCATACTGGTTTATAAAGTTTGTTACTTGTGGTTTTGTGAAAATTCAGTATGTCCTTGGTATTTATTATGGCATGCAGAAAGATTTATGTGCAGCACTGAAGCAACATGGCAGAAATGCTCCTGAACTATTTTTAGTAGAGAAAAGAAAATCCTGCAATAGAGAGAGAAAACAACAGACAACTGCTCAGACATCTTTATTTCTACCAGTGGCTACTGGTGAATGCCTGGGAAAAAAATATTAGAATAGCACAAACAAGTAGTGTTACTTCTCCTGTGTAATTATTCAAATAGTACATTTGAATGTACCAAATACATTCAATATACTAATATACATTCAGTATAATCAAATACCAAATACATTCTGTATAATCAATAATTTGTGGTTCAGCAGGTATAAGTATTATATTTAACAGCCATTTTCCTTCCTTGAATTTCTTTCAATTGATTTTTAACCCATTTAGCATCCAGTACATATTTTGGAAAATAATTATTACATTTCTTTATGCATTGTTTGAAGAAGTAACTTCTTTTTTTAGTTAAAAGAATCCATCTTTTGGTATTGTTATTTCATGTCTTCATGTTCTTGTATTCTTAGAAAAAAAAAAGGCATTTATTTCCTCTTCATGATTTAGTCCCTAATGATTGTCACATGGAAAAACTGTTCAGGTCTGTGGTTTAAGTCAGGTAAAGAATTAGTGATTTATTGGTTTATTAATTACAGTTAATCAGCAATCAACCAGCTACACGTTCAGTTCAAGAGCAGCAATACAGCAGTGACAGCAACATTAGACAACCATAAAATGTTAATAAGCAACCAATAATTTCTAAGCACTCCTCTGCCGCTCATCTCAGAACTTTTAATCCTCCTGCACACTTTCACAGACATGTTCACAGAATTACATATGCACACACTACCTTTTACAGCAGGCATGGATTACAAGCACCTCTGGCACTTTCAGTGCAAGTCTGCTCCTGCCTCACAGCTCTTGTTAGAGGTGAGGGTGCTCTTGGTGACTTTGGAATATGCTGTAGCTCAGCTCTTCTCTTATGCTTGCAAAATTTCAGCAGGTAAGTTTGTCCATTATATCTGAAAATATCAAACCATTTATTCAGATAGTAGTTCTCTTTGCATAATTGATGCTGAATAACAAAAATGTCCTTCCCCAAGCTACAGAAAATGTCTGGGTTTCATTCACTACTTTTTGTTCCAGTTTCTTGTCTGAATTGATACATGGATATTTTTTAAAATGGGGCCTTTCAGAATCATGCAGAAAAGAACATCTAGTTTTTGTTTTTATTGCTTTTAGTTGTTTTTTTTTTCCCCTAGTTTTTATTACCTTTAGGTAATAAAACCTAGGGGAAAATAAAACCTAATACCTTTTTAAGATAAAATTTCTCCCAACATGATAATACCTTCTAGATCTTACCTCTCAAATAACATTATGGGAAGCAGAACCAAACTCAGAAATAACAGGATCTTCAGATCTGTAAAAAGGAAAAAAAAGGGCAACTAATATCTAATCACAGAATTCAAAAAACTGAGAGTGTTTAGTACCATGGGATTCTATGAGCAACTGGGCAAATACTTTGCTCACACAAAAGGCAAACCAATACCTCAGTGAAGTTCCAAGCGTGTTCATAATCTGAAGTCACTCACTGAGCTGTAATATTTTCATACACTTCTTCATATGTTTTAATGGAGAGAGGAGAAGTTAACTTTTGCATATTGAAAGGATTTTGGAGAGATAGCTTTGGCATAAGAAAATTGCACTGCTGAGAGCAACAGAGGCTTTATTTTTCTATTGCCAGAAGAAGAAGCAAGTACAGTTAATCAGTCTTTTTTCTAAGAATTTATGATAGTACTCCTTGCTTTTTTGCTTGGCAACCTCATGCTATAATAATTTAAACAAATATTAATACCATTATCTCAAAACCCCATACTTAGTTACAAAAGTATTTATTGTCAGGGCCCTGAAATGTCAACTTTAAAGACATTTACCATTCTGTCTTTCACATTGTTCATATTTTTCCATCATTGAAAAATCAGAAATTAGTCTTTCTGAGCTGGATTGCAGGACAATCTTCTGGAACATCCTAGGTTCAATGTTATAGGTTTAGAGCTTTATAATTTGTCATGACTACTACACCTTTCACACAGAGTTGCATTTGTAGTTTGTGTGAAATATAAAGTATTTGTGATGTCATATGGAGAGTGTGAGAGAGAGCTAAAGAATGGTAGCTCTAAGCAGAATTTTATATTAAATAAATACTTTATCTGTACCTATTCCTTTAAGGATATAGATCACAGTAGTATTGAAGAGTAATGTTTCAAATTCCCTGTGTACCCATGTTAGCAAAAGAGCCTGTGCTGTGCTATTCGACTGAGAAGTGAGCAATAATGACCAGCCTAGTAGGAGTTTGGGATTGTTAACCACCCTGGCAGAGGCTGGCTTTCTTACTGGAAGTATAAAATACCTTACTTTCATTCTATCCAGCATCTATCCAAGGCACAAAGCTACATTCATAATTAGAAACACAGCAGCAGAAGTGCTGCAAAATTTAATCTCCTTTACTAGGCACTTCATTATCATCTGTGAGGAGAAAAAGAACAAAGCAAACCTGAACGTGTCCTGCAATTAGCTATGCTTTAAAACTGGCCTTCCAGTGTCTGGGGGAGAACTCCCACAAGTGCTGGCATGGTGTGGAAAACAATTGCCTGGTAAAGCTTGGTGGGACTTGCATTACCAAGTTGGATGTGCCTTGAAAAATCTACAAGGTGAGAATGGGCTTAAAGGTTAGTGATGGTTGTGTAGGAGTTGCCTCTTTTACATAAGAGTATTTTGAAGTGAGGGCACTCCCCTTAGAAGCCCAGTCTTGCAGGCTGTAGAGGTTTTAGCAGTGAACCATGGGACATCCCTTTGAGGAATGTAGAGAGTCAAAGAATCTTAAAGAACCTTCCTGCCTGCTCTGGTGTTTTGGTGAAAATTTGCCTTTACCATTGTTTTTATCCAAGCACTGAGTAATAATCAGCATGATTAAGGCAGGATTTCAATGGAAAGAACAGGATTTTGGAGAGACATGCAGTACTTTAAGCTATGTGCACAATAAAAGCAGAAAGAAGTGACTGTCCTCGTTCACTTGCAAATACGTGGGAGCTGCATGACAAACTCCAGATACCAAAACTTTTTCTATAAGGATTTGGAAAATATGCACAATATGCATCCCACTGTGGGCTAATATTCCCAAGTAATTTTTTTTCTCCGTGTCTGTTAGCATTAAGAATTCATTTTATGCAGCATAGTGTCTTCCAGAGACACAAAAAGATTTTCAGATAACATCAACATATTCTAATTTGCAGTTGCTCATTATATTTCATCTGTTTGGCTTAAGTACCCAGGAGTTATTTTGGTATGCTATTTCTGAGTAACTGAATATTAGAGGGTGTTTATATTACTGTGTAAAATAACTCAGATTATACTTGATGTAAACAGTCTCCAACTTGTTTTATGGTTTTCAGAAAACACCTTAAAAATTCTTTCTAGTTCTGTAGAATTTTTTTTTCCTTTTTACCATGGAAATTTATATTATTTGTTTGTTCTCCAAATAAAGAAAGCTTTCATGAGGAGGTAACAGTTTTATATATGGAAGCTGCAGTATATCTGAGCTATTTCAGATGTTGATTTATTTTGGAGAATAAACAAAAAATTCATTCTGAGTTGCTGGGGAAAGAGAATCTTTTAGATAACTCTTTTTAAATTTGTAGTGAATAGTCAAAATCTGACACAAAATTAAAAATACAAATACTTTTTCAGAACAAAGTTTAACATTAAAATTTTATTCATTGATAAGTAGTTATTTTTACTCAAACAAGAATGCAGAAATATATCTTTCCCCAAGTACACCTACAGCAGCAAGCTGGCAAGCTACAGAATAATTGCACCAAAGCAAGCTCAAATAATCTTTAGGATAATGCCCTCAAAAAATTACTGTCTCCTACTCTGAAATAAATGTCTGTGTGCAGTCTCAGAATGACAGCTAAAGTCTTGATTAATAAATGTGATCAGATTACTTCTCTTAATGAAAAGTGTGTGCACTGCCAGCCTGTAACAAAAGTGCACAAATGGAAACTTGTGGAAACTTGTAGGTCCTTGTATTTGGCATTTAGTAAATAAAATATGTTGCATAGCAAAGTATTGGCAGAAAAAAGCTTAGTAAAACAAAAATGGAAAATGAGTCTGTCCAATCAGTTTCTACAATGCTGTTTACAGCTGTGTATACACTTTTTAATTCCATTTTTCTCAGAATGACACCATGATGTTGAAGGGCACTATTGTGGTAGTTGGTTGTCGCATGTCCAACATAATCATTGTATCACTATGTGGGCATCTACTACTTCGATATGTTTTTTTTCCATCGTATTTACAAGAAGGTATAACTATCTTAAAAATTCAATTTTTTGTTGACATTTAGCAATGGAAACTCCTGCCTGACATAAAACTGATTTGCAGTTGTTTCACTTCACTATGTGCCTGAAATTACAAGTTCAGTCTTGTGTTAGTATTCCAGGATACTTACAGAACAGCAGCATTAAGGGGCTGATATAAGTATGAGGTAACCCATGTCAAGTGCTCTTGACATAGAACTGTACAATTAGGAAACTGATATAACCGAGTTGAAGTCTAGATTCCAACATTTAGACAAGTTGTGGTGCAAGGCTCAGCTCTTCACTCAAAATTGTTTTAAGTGTATTTAGCTGAGCTGTTTGTCTCCTTGACAATGTGTGAGGAAAGCCTAGTTTGGCTTGTTGACTACCTCCCTTGTTCTTCACAGAAAGAGTGATTGGGCATTGGAAGGGGCTGCCCAGGGAGGTTGTGGAGTCACTGTCCCTGGAGGTGTTTAAGGAAAGACTGGACGTGTCACTCAGTGCCATGGTCTAGTTGACACGGTGGTGTTTGGTCACAGGTTGGGCTCGATGACCTCAGAGGTCTTTTCCAACCTAATTGATTCCTGTGATTCCTTTTCGTAATTGGAAGCATAAGCTGTTAAATCTCTCATTTGAGTACTTATGTCTTTCAATTTTTGTTAGTCATTAAACTGGGCAGCTTTATTTAGTCATCCTGAAATTGAAAGATAATTCTCTGAGATTTAGAGAAACTGAGCTAATAACTTTTCAAAATAAATACCTACAAAATGAAAGCCCAGTTCAAATGCCTGATGCCAAATGGCTAGCACTGTGTGAATTTTAAGGTATTAAGCTTTCACTGTAACTGCTGGGTAAGAAACTACAAGGTATTTATCTTAGCTTTGCTAAGAGTTTTGTCAGGTAATATTTCCAGTCAGTTCACATCAGACACCTTGACATCATGGTCAGGATCAAGAAAATGTTACATGCCTACCCATCCATATATCTCCAATCCGCAAAGGGTAAACTGAGTTGTTTGGGAGTTTTTTTTCTCTCTCATCTTCATGTAAGATCATGGTTAACACTGTTACTTTCAATACTGTTTTAGTAAAATATTAACCTAGCACATTTTCCCAGCATGGGCAATTTAGAAGTGACATTGATGTGCACTAGGTTTTTGGAGACCAAAATGAGAGGTAGCATAGGATATGATTCCTCTACCTATTCCTCTTTTCAGTCCTGCATCAAAGGAAAAAGATAGTCCTAGAAATGTATTTTGTAGTTGTCTTTACTAGTGCTCTACAAAGGGAGCATTGTTCCGTCCCTTATGAAGCATTATGCCAATTGACCAAACTCCTTAGACATAACACCCATCTACTAAGAGTCTTCTACTTCACAGGGAAACTCCTACTGGTTTTTGTATCATTCAGTTGTTGTATAGACGTGTTAGAGGGCCATGGCATGTTTTTGGGCATTTAAAGGTAATGGGCTGGGCAGGTCATCAGAAAAATCTGTTCCTTAAATGATTAGAAACTCAGTTAAGCAATTACTGGTTTATGGCTTCTTAGCAGAACACCCCCCAGGAAGAAACATGTAGCTACCTACCTCCTTCTTAATTCTATTTATTAATCTTCTGTCTGGATTTTTAAGTTTCCAAGGCAACTAAAACCAGAAACATCTTTGTAAACCAGAGCTTCCCAGAACTCTCCATTTCAAGTGGTACACAAATTAATTACAGCTTTCTCTTCATCACTGAGTTTTTACCAGATTTTTAAAAAATCTGCAACTAAATTTGTCTCATCAGTGGTTTTGAGATTTTCTTACCTAGAAATATAAAATGGTGGTGGCATACATTATTTTGACTTCTTGAGGAGACGTGGAAAGATACTATAAGCCCTCCCTTCTGAAATGCTAATTATGAACAGCTTGTCTGCCAGAGCTCCGTTTCCACAAATGATGCAGGATGGATCCACAATGAAATAGTTACAGCACTGTAGAGAAACCCAGTTTGCAGCTGTCATTTGAGGAAGGTCTACCATGAGACGTCTTCAGTCTTCAGTGAGACTGTCTTTTAGCCAGAACATGACACCAGGTGAGGCAACAATAGGGAAGAGAGTGAAATTTTTTCCCCTCTCTCCTGTAAACATAAGAACATATTTTTATAGAGTATTCTGAGAAGAAATGTCGTTATTCTGTATTAATCTACCCAAAGAAAAACCAGCTGCAGCCACTTTAGCAAAAGACAGTTATACTCACTGAGGCAATATTTTTGCCAAAACCAGGGCAAGTAAGATTATTCATCCCCTAAAGCCTGGAAAAAGAAAATTCATCTTTAAGAATGTCTTGTTATGAAGGTCTGGATTTACAGGAAAACCAGAATAAAGGCATGCAAAAAATTAAGCAAAGAAGACAGTTATACAAAATTCTGTATATGTGTTAAGTTGATATTTTCTAGACTGTTGTTCTGCTGTACTGAGGTACTAGAGATACAAAATGTTTAAAGCTGTTTCATAGTACTGTTTTGCCCTTGAAGAAACTGGAACCTCAAGCTGAAATGAAAACAGTTTGAAATATGTCACTTGTATGTTCTTTACTACTTTTTACTTTCTGTGTGTGACCTTGGCCAAGTCAGCTTCCCTCTGTCTCAACTTCAGAAGTAAAACTGTTGAAGATATTCTTAGAAGACCTTTCTATGAAAAAGGAATTTAGAGTGGAATAAGAAAACAGACCCCCTAACGCATGATGAAGAGACTAATGAAGAGATTTTATACGTGTATATAATATATGCATGTAACATGTATACATGATACATATATATACATACATATATATATATGCCTTAATTAGCAGCCTCAGATTTTTCAGATATTCTTTTTAATGATCAGGTGATTAATATTTTAAAATAAAAACGTATCTGTATTATGACATTCTCATATAATTCATCACCATTGGTAAAAACTCCTGTAAATGTGCCTGTAATTGGGCAAGCAGAAATGGCAGTAATAAAACTGTGCTATCAGTTCTGATTCAAAATGGGCTATTTTAGGAGTCGAATAGATGAGGTGACAGCCAGAGACACCTGTGGCAAGCTGCAAATGCAGTAAATGGAAATGGGGTCAGTCTGTGAAGCTGCTCAGTTAAACAACAGTAGGTGTCTTATTTGGAGTACAAGGAGTGTCTCTCACACCATTTTTTTGGGGGGGGATGAGGAGTGTGGCTCAGTTACCAAAACAAATTAATCTAGTGTGATGTTAGGTGTTGTAGGCTGTGAGCTGGGGTCCAGAATAATGCAGGTCTCCATAAATCACATGTAAGGATGTCTCAGCTTCCTGAGGTGTCAGAGTGCTGCTTAGCAAAGGAGTTCCACCAAAGAGCTCTCTGCTCCAACCACTAGAAACATTAATTCGTGGTCTCCTCCTGACCAGGAAGTTACCTTCTGATGACCATGAAAACAGTCATTGTGGAGACAACAGGCAAAAGATCAAAGAAGTAAGAGAGAATAAGGAAAACTGACAACAGATAGGAGACAACATTTGGACTCAGGTATACAGAGGTGTTTAATATATGACCCATTCCTCCACCACACTTCCAAAAGACTGTGCAGATACTTCCCACCAGTCACCATCGTGACACAGGCTGCAGTGGAACAGATGTGTTCCTCTTTTTCTGGGCATTCTGGTGTACTGATAAATCTTCACTTGATTGACATCAGAAGTCTGTCTTGGACTTGGTTTAGGCCCTTGTATTTCTGCAATGAGAAGGAGAATGTTTCTGTTTCAAATATTGTATTTCGTGCTGTTGTAAATACCCAATGGCATGGTAATTACAGTCTGAATGGAGTAAGGATATAATTGATTCTTTACAAACTTTTACAAAAATAACATTTACATCTTTTAAAATTTATTTTGTAATACCCTTGGCTAATTTATGTTACTATATTGAAGTTTTATTGTAGGTTGAAACTAACTTAAATTCAAGTTATCATGTCTGTATTGAATCACGTGAATCAAAACGTATCTGGTGTTTATTAATTTTCATGGGAAATAGGTTTTAAATTTTTTTTTCAGTGTTGGAATTACTACTGCTTGTGTCAATTATGCATATTTCAAACATTTAAAAGAAATATTTTCTTTCCAAAAATAAGTTTGTTTTCATTACTTTTTCTCTAAGGAGACACATGTTGGCAAAACATAAAGATCAGTTGCATTCCTAGTGGTCACTGGAGGTCTGTTTTTTAAAAATCTATTAAAATTAGCAAACCGTGAGTGGGGTCTCCTGTCTTTGTCCTCATTCTATTTGCTTGGAACATTCTCTTTTGATTTTTCTTGTTCTTAGTCAAATCCTGATGTTTGATGAGCTGGTGTAGGATAAGGACCATGGTATCACTGTGCACCCAGAGTTTCAAAATTATGTTTTGGCAATTTTGTCAAAGGAACAAAACTTATCTGGAGATGAAGAGATAGATGATGAGGAGGAGGAGGAAGAAGAAGAAACAGAAGAAGAAGAAAAAATAGAAGAAGCAGAAGGAGAAGAGGAAACAGGAGAAGAATCTAGAGAAGGAACAGAGAAAGAAGAGGAAATAGAGGAAAAATATGCCAAAGAGAAACCTAGTAAAACACCTGAGGGAGAGAAAAGCAGTAATAGCACAGTGGAAACTGGAGAGGTAAGAGCATTTAGTCTTATTAAGTTACTGTTCTCTGAAAGAATCTGGTTCTATAACCAGCATTAGTTTGAATATGTGTAGCTACCCTGTAAATGCAAAGTTGTTGTTTGGGGTGGTTTTGGTAGAGGGAGGAAAACATGTAGGTGTTAATCATAAAACATCTTACTTTTTAACAAGTTTGAATGTAGAGATTTAATTGGTTTTGTCTCTCTATAGACAGAAGAGACTACTCAGAAAGAGACCATCGTTCAGCAGGGTAAGAATACAATTCCTAAAGACATATACAACATTTCAAAAAATAAAATCGTTCTGAGCAATCCCATATTATAAAAAATATTGAATGGCACAGTTATTGTAAGTAATTGGTAAAGCAGCTGTTGAGAGACAATGAAATTTGAGACCCAAAAAAACCCCATTAATAATTGTTACTGATTTGAAAGAAAGAAATACTTTTCCCAGTCATGTATTGGAGGAAGTCCACGAGAAGGACTTTCTCTTAACAGGGCTGTATCTTACTTGCTAGGAGCAGTTCCAATTGTGCAGTGCCAAAGTCATGGTAACTGTGTTATCTCACTTCAGCTCAGAAACTTGTCAAAAGTCTTCCTCATCTTTGCCAACTGACATTTCCTCATCATGTTTGCAGACTATTTCAGGTGAAGTGTGATAATTACTGAACTCTGTTCAGAGATGCTGAGGATGCAAGTCTAGATGTTCCCTGTAGTTTTGATGACAGTTTGTGTGAATTATATATTCCTTTAGAAAAGCTGGAGAGTACAAAGTTGGGTGCCCCATATATGAAAGGCTTCTTTTGTTTTAGAAATTCTGGAATAATCTATAATTGTTCTTTTGAAATAGAATAACAAATGTGATATAAAAGTATACAAAAATATACATAAAAATAACAAATGTGATATAAAGAAGCTATGCTATTTATTTTCACTAGTATAGTAGAAATAACTTGTACAGAATGGATGCTTAAATATTTTTCCATTATCCAGTGATCTGGAAGTTTTGATATTAAGTTCTAAATTTATATGATTTTTACAGGGAGCATAGGAAAATTTAAACACAGGAACATCAACTCAAATGGAAAGTTTTTCCATTCCCAGAATTGTTTCTATGGAATAAAATTCATGCTTAACTGTAACTCCTGCCTTAACAGCCAGCTTTCCCAAATTAGAATATACTTTCAAATCAGGGTGCAAGACTTTGTCATCTGTCAGCAAGAGCTAACTAAGAGTGTTAAGTCAAAATATTTTATATAGTGTCACTACCGTAAGTGTTTTGTTCTTGAAAATCAAGAATCTGAAGAGCATTATAAGGGCATTATATAGAGAAATTAAAAAAAATTAAAATAGTCTTGTCAGGCTGGGTGTCAAGTTGAACTGAATATTCTGATTGCTTTTTTTTAAGATCCACATTTTTTGTGACTTCTACTTCAAAAAGAATTTGAAGAACAATTTTTTAGGGTTGTTTTCTGTTTTTCTGTGATATTTTTATGATTTGCATGAGTCAGAGGGAAGTTTATATGAATGTTTCTGTTATTTTAGAAGAAGAAAGCACCGACAATCATACTGTGAAAAATTCTTCAGAGAATAATGATGACCAAATAACTGGAGGAATTGTTGGGAGAAAAAAGGTAGGTGGCCTGGTTTTTCCTTCTAGTTTTGTGAGTGACCAAGGTGGCAGTGGGCAGTTACCAATGCAAATACCTCAATTTACATGATCTGCACAAATAATTAAACTGCTGAGCAACCTGTTCCTCCTCTTTAAGATTTGATTTTATTTTGTGATAATTGTCCAAATAATTGCTCTCTTAGAATAAATCATAGTCCTTCTGTCAGTAGAAATGAGATAAAGCCCATGATCACCTGTTCATGTAAAAGACAGCTTGTTAATCACATCATCACATCACATCACATCACATCACATCACATCACATCACATCACATCACATCACATATTGGTGAGATGAAAACCTAAGACTTGATTCATATGGGACATTATCTATTTTCTCTCATATTTCTCTCTGAAAGCAGCAGCCAAGCTAGTTTATCTTGCATCTATTTCCAACATGCACTGATTTGGGGATCATATATATCTATATATGTGTGTATAAGCATGTTGAGGAGTACCTGATATGGAATTTCTTACAGGTTTAGGATCCAGAGGCTTCTACAGAGACTGGCTGCTGTGTTTCCTGCTGAACAAAGACCTTAAGCAGCAGTTAACTCTGACCAGTGTGTAGTCTCACTGACACAAGCACTGTCATTAACTTTAACGGGAGTACACAGGTTTTTAAGGAAGCATATTAAGCACTTACTGCTCTGGGGCTTTGGAGATCTGAACCTGTATTTTTTGGACCTCGCCTCAGATTCTTATTTGAAAGAAACCCAAATAATTGCACCACTTGCAGTATTTAGTGCAAACTGTACAATGTATAATTTAACAAAATGCAATCATTTTAACTTCTCTAGTTCACATGTACTATTTTGACACATTTCAAATATTGCAACTGTTTTTCATTAACATTTTGAAGTAGTCATTTTGTTTTTAAGAGATTATTTATTTTACCAAGGAGAAATTTACAACCTCAGTTGACCTTGTCATACACAAAAGGGTTTGTGGTTTTTAATCTTGAATTTCAGAGCTAACTGTTTTGCACATATTATTTACCTGTTTTTTTACTTCAGTTTTCCCTGTTTAAGCGAAAGCCACTGACAGGCCAGAAGAATTTATGTAGCAGAAAGGAAGACAGATCTGAAAAGCCATTACAGACTGAAGAAAAAGAAAAGGAAGATTTACCTGGTGAAGACAGTAAGGATGAAAATCAGAATCATACATTGGAGAATTCCAGTGAAACTGTGACTAACCAGGACAGAAGGATGAAAGTTAATACATGTATGTTACTCTAACACTGTTATAATATGTGAGAATGTGACAGTCTTAAAGCACATAGGGCAATTTTTACTTGAAAACAGTTATGACTTGCAATGTTGGTGGCTGCTCTTTTTGATTGATTTGATTGCTGTAATTTTAAATAGGTAGATGATTTTTCTTGCTATTTATTGGTAATATTAATTGTTTAAATTGATATACTTATCAGCACCTTGCTGGAGTTCTGTGGCCTTACCTGTTGGTGTTCTAAAACAAAATATGGGGGGGTTGTGTGAAAAGTTGAATACAGTCATTTTATGTTTTTTTTCTAAATAATTTTTTTCTGTGTCAGTCTACGGAGTACCACTTTCAGTATGATACTCTTGCAAAATTATATCTGATGTAAGATATTATTTAACAACTTAGTTAAGAATATTGGGGGTACTCAGTTACTTACAAACATGTATGTTTATTTCTGTTTTGACTTAGAAAAGTAGCAATAAAACTTTCAAGTTAAGGTGTAGGCCATTATGGAAGAAGTTATTTGAGTTCATGCCTAATTTCATGTATGGCAGCAGTCCCATAGGGAACAGTACCTAAGAGCAGTATGTTAGAAAGTATGTAAGTAACTATCCTGCCAAACTGGCACATGGAGAAACCTTTTATTTCTGAGAGGTGCTGAACACCTTCACTCCTGCTGAGATCAGAATAAGCTGTTGGGCCTCCCTTCTCCCAGGATCAGGCCCAGTGAAAACTGGACACCCTCACTCTTGTTTCACTTGGATTCTAATCCTATATTCTTTGAACATCCATATCTAGTGAAGCTTTTCTTACAGGAAAATAATGTAACCAGAATTACTGTGGCATATATTGGTATGCCAGACAGATCATGGTGGGATAAATATTCATGATTTTCTCAGGCAGCTTGGCTTTTCTTCAGATAGAGACTTTGCAGCAGGAGCAATGAATCTCATTATTGATATGGAAGAGCAGAATGTTTGGTTTTTTTAATTAGTGGAAGAGATAGAAGTCACAAACTGACTATCTAATTACTGACATTCCCACTAAATGAAATTTGATTTCTGAATTTCGTCAGGTGAATAATAAATATAACCCTTAGAATCGTAGATATATTAAGGATGGAAAAAGCATCTATGGTCACTGAGTCCCACGGATAACCCTGCACCACCATCTTCCCCACTACATCATGTCCCTGAGTGCCGTCTCTACTCACCTTTTGGACACTTCCAGGGATGGTGACTCCACCCCTTCCCTGGGTACTCTGTTCCAATGCTTGATAATCTTTTCAGTGAAGAAATTTTTCCTAATATCCAACCTGAACCCCCCTGGCAGAACTTGAGGCCTTTTCCTCTCATCCTGTCACTTGTTATGTGGGAGGACAGACTGATGCCCACATCACTACACCCTCCTTTCAGGGACTTGTAGAGAGCAGTAAGGTTTCCCCTGAGCCTTCTTTTCTCCAGGATACACACCCCCAACTGCCTCAGCTTCTTCTCCTTGGATTTATGCTCCAGACCCTTCACCAGCTCCATTGCCCTTCTCTGGAAACATTCCAGCACCTCAGTGCCTTTTCTGAAGTGGGAGGCCCAAAACTGAACCCAGTACTCAAGGTGTGGCCCCACTAGTGCTGAGGACAGAGGGATAATCACTTCTCTACTCCTGCTGGCCACGCTATTGCTGATACAGGTCAGGATACCATTGGTCTTCTTGGCCACCTGGGCACATTTCTGACTCGTGTCCAGCTGCTGTAGGTCCTTGTTGGCTGGGCCACTTTCCAGCCACTTTGCTCCCAGCCTGTAGCACTGCATGGTTTCCTAAGCCCATGTTGGCTGGGCCTGATCCCCTGGCTGTCCCTGCACATGCCATGTGGTTGCACTCAAGATGATCTGCTCCATAGTCTTCCCTGGCACTGAGGTCAGGCTGACAGGCCTGTAGTTCTCCAGATTGTCCTTCTGACCCTTCTTGTAGATGGGCATCACATTTTCCAACTTCCAGATACCTGAGACTCCTCTGTTAGCCAGGGCTGATGATAAACAATGGAAAGTGTCTCAGTGAGCTCTTCCAACAGGTCCATCAGTACCTTTGGGTGGATCCCATCTGGCCCCATAGACTTCTGGACCCTTACCGTGATGAATGTGATACAGGGCCTCTGTTTGCCCCTTACTAAAATATGCTTAGGTTTTTTTAATGAATATAGACAAACTCTAGCATAAATATAAAACAAAGAATTTTTTATAAACTGAGCACTTTTCAGGATACTTTACAAGGGAGAGATTGTCAGAGTTGCTTTAACTTTATACAGTATGGTCAGAAGTGTCCAGAGTTGTTTTTGTCCTAGAAGTTGATTCACGTGAACTCTTTGTCCTTCTAAGCATGGCAGGAGCTCAGATTCTTTCAGAGAGCCTCCTTTATGCTACAGTAATCATCATATTAAAAACCTGGATGCTTGGATCATCCTTTGCCAGAGTTAATTAAGATCCTTTTGTTTCTGTTAGTTTTCTTCAGGATACTCCTGTGTTCTGCAATGTACTTTACACAAACTATTTTTTGTCTGCATTATATTTAAATAATTTTTTGTTTTCCTGAATGCATATGTGGTTTCTTTTTGACTTGGATACTGTTGAGAATAGTAAAGTGGAAAAGGGGAAATGAAGTAAATGGTACCCTCATTAATTTAAATAAACATTAATTATTTTTGTAGCAGGATATCAGTCACAGAAATTGTTACTGTAAGGACAATTTCTTTTTTTAAAGGGGAACTAATTTTGTGAGAAATATTACTTTAAAGTGGGAATTATCCTTAAATCTAATGCTAAAGAAGTTTATGCAATGGACTGTAAACTGCTGTATGTCAAAGCAGTTTCAGGGACTTGTACATTTATCTTGTCCATACCCTTTGCTTAACAGAAGCAGGAACAAGTTAATCTATTTGGATGTCTTTTTTTACATATCTTCCTTGTTAATAAAAAGGTTAAACAAATAAAAAAGTTGCATGTGTATTAATTTAGAGGTTTTTTTTTTTCACAAGTTCACAAATGTGAGGGTGTTTCATTACTGAAAGGTTTTCATAAACTGGCGAGTAGCAAAGAGGTCTAGAAACATTCACAGTACATTTTTCTCTGTAATTTTCTTACTTTCACACAGTCAACTGCATCAACTTAAATTTTTATTTCTCATTTTCACAGTCCTGTCATACAGCTGAGATTGTGCTTTAGAATTGTTGGTTTTCTAAATTTCATCATTGAACCTATCACTAGGTGGAGTTTGTGCTCTTCAAAGGTGTAACCCAGCCTCTGGAGCCAGAAATTTTCCTTCTCCTGGCCCCCGAAATGCAGTTAAAGATACTCACTCTGTATCAAATTTTCTATTTCAAAATTCTCAGAAAACTTTATGCTTTCTGGCATTAAATTACTCTGGTGCCTTAGTGTATTTATAAAGTGTATTTTTAGAGCTTTAGACTATGTGTATTTGATGAACTATAAAGAAAGAAAAATATAATTACTCATTTCTCAATGTATACATAGATGGACAGTGGTTAAATTATGATACATAAATATACATCTATATGCACTCATACGTATATGTGTGTATTTATATACAAAGACACACATATATATAGACATATGTATGTATGTGTGTATGAATATGGATGATCAAACATGTACCTGACCTCCTGAAATTTCCATTTAATCCAAATATTTGCATATGTATGTTTACTGATTTCCAGAGGCACAGGGATTCATTTATTCACCTACTGTTCCTACGCAGGTTTGTGGCGATTCAAGTAGAAAAGGAGGGAACATGGTATTTAGACAGTATTTTATATGCCCAAAGTTAATAATCATCCTTATCATCATCACTGAATCATAGGATCATAGAATATTAAGGAATGGACCTTAAAGATCATCTACTCCCCACTCCTACTGCCATGGGCAGGGACACCTCCCACTACACCAGGTTGCTCAAGGCCTCATCCAACCTGGATTTGAACCGAAAAACCCCCTCAAAACCACAAACAACAACAACAAACCCCAAACAAACAAACAAAAATAAAAAATAACTTTGTTTATTTTTATTTAATAATAATAAACAATTTTGTGCAACTTTTTCTTTTTTCTTCCAGGAAATACTTGTATAATATGCAAAATACTACCAGTCTTTGTCCCTGGGGAATACTTTAAGTCATACTGTCAACATTAGGGTAGTTGAAGTAAATTGAATTAATATCTTAATGGTAAACTGCTGTAAATCCTGATGATCATGCACACACACAAGCTAATCTTACATGACTGTTGATAGACTAAGTATGGGCTCGCTTAAAACACACTCATTAATAAGAGATGAACTTGTTCAACTCTTGGCAACAGGTTTTGACATCTACCATTTTTGACATTTAGTTAATGTATTAGCAGTGCTTTCTTGCACAAGAAGCCCATTCTGTACTCAATTTCTGTTGAAATTGCTGACCCAGAAAGGGGTGGTTCTCAGAGCAACACAATCACACTACCACTAAAAATACTGCTGTCCCTACTCTCTACTTCTAATGCCCCAGGTGAAGGACTAACACTCCACTCAGATTTATGGGCTGTGCCTAGCAGCATGGCTGCTTAATAACACAGGAAAATAAATGTTTCAAAAATACCCACATTAACAGTAGAAAGGAAATCTATTTGAATTAGATATTAAAATCCAATACTGAGCACATATTAAAAGATTCAAGTGTTGTTTAGGAAAATTATAACCATTTACTGCATGCTTGAACAATTTTTAAGGGCTTATTACTTACACTACTCATTATTAACAGGGCTTTACAGCATTTTCACCCCCTGTTATGCCTAAATTAATTTGAGAACCTAAATAGTGTTCTGGTTAAGAGTGATGAGACCCCTATCAGTGGTGAGAATTGGAAATACGAATGCTTTGGTAGTAGGTCTGCTTTGCTCAGTATCTCATACTGATGAGCTCTCAAACTTCACACCTATTTGCCTTCCAAGACTGTGTTGGAATTACATTTTAATCATGCTATATAATTATCAATCTCTTTTTCAGGACCAGATAGTAATGACTCAACAAAGGTATTGCAAAATCTAAATCTGGCTAAACTGTAGTTCTTGTATTTGTACACAAAGAAGCCTTTTATTTTCAAGACTATTGTCATTTGGTGGTGAAATTGTTTAGATACAGCTGTTTCCAATCACACTCATCAAAAGCTGAAGAGATATTAAGAGTTAGAATTTTAAGGGATGTTAACAGCTTAAAAAAAATAATAATACAGAGGGTTGGTTTTTTTTCGGTATAAAAACCGGGCAACTAAACTGGAAACCATATATCTTCTGTTTGATCACATATTGATGCATCAATCAGTGTCTAACTGAGAATGCAATATTGTCTTCCCCAAAAAAATTTTGGTTTGCTGCCAGCCTAAGTCACAGTGAGTAGGACACGTGGACCCCACCAGATGGAATATAAAGGCAGCTGATGTTCTGTAAGACTTGCTACATATATATATAAAATATATATATACCATGTATGTGCTCTCTGTGTACCTGATCCACACCTTCATGTTGAAATTTTCCACAATAAGGTTTTTGGTAGGTGAGAAATTCAGGGAAAGTTAGTCTTGCCATTTCCTTTATTCCTGGAAGGAAAGGCATGAGGCCACCATTAACTAGGAAGACCCAAGGAGATTTCTACAGATCACTGACGCATAGAGAAGGTAAGTGCTCAGGGATAGAACACAGAGCCAGAGTGTGCTGCCTTGAAGAACATTTCATTTCCCTAAAATATGTTATTTCTACAGTCAGGGTAGTATCTTTTTTTTTGTATTTTTGACAGGGAATGTTCCATTAAGGTTTAGGTGTGACCTAAGAAAGAAAATTATTAGGAGATAACTTAAGTTTATCATTTCACACAAGAAACTATGGGACCATCATCTCTGCTATTTAAGATCACAGAACAAGAATTCCCATCAATGTACATCTTCCTGATGTTTTCAGCCAGTGATGCCTTCTTGTTGGCTGGCCTCTAAGTGTTTCTTTCCTGTCTGTCATCTTGGGAAACCAGCTTTTTATTAGAAAACATGAATATATCACTTAAAAATGCAAAATGAGCAGTGTCTTTGACAAGCATGGTTCGTGCAGTGGAGATGCCTTTTGAAAACTGCACTGAGTGAAGCATCTGCTTTCTGTGAAGGGATGATCATGGGCTCGCACTGAGGATTCACAGTCACATGCTAACAGCAGCAGCATGGTAAGAGTGAGGAATTTTGTCCATCATTCCCCAGACAGTACCCTACATGGCACACATCCACCTGCCTCTGTCTGACCTCTGAATATTTTTTGCTGTTCTTCCTGTTGATGCCTCCTGTTTCTCACCAAAGTAGTGCCTATGGAAAGGCTGCTCTTCTTGCCTTGTTCTCTTCACAGATCAATCCCAGTCTTTACTTCCATTTCAGTCTCCCTCTCCTGGACCCTTTGTCAGAGCATCTGAAATGTCCCAACA